CTAACCTAGCCTCGCCTTATGTGGTTCGCACTCCAAGTCCCGGTTACCGCTTTCCATCACTGAACAGCAGATTTTCGTGATTACGGGATTCGCCCCGTCCGCTGTTCATCATACTTAGGTGTGTAATAATTTTTTTTAAATAGACGGATTCGTCCAAACTGTTGACCGTAGTCACCGTCGACCACAGTTTTGACACCCTGTTTAAAATGTAATACTACTACACTCGAATACTAATCCACCATTTGAAATGCGAGTCAAGATAGACGAAACCAAGTGTTCCGGACATAAACTTCGGTTACGGAACTGACTAAGTTTGGCATCCTGTATGTGTGTGTAATATGAAAATGACCAAGCAGCAAAAGGGGATAGAGAATATCTAGTGAAAGCAACAATGGAGGCGGTTCAGTCAACAGCACACCCAATAAACTGTTCACAGACACCTTTGCACGTCGACTATTTACCACAAGAGAATTGTGTAAGGATGTATTTGTATCAGATCGATGCGGCATTGACCACACTTTTCTTCGGTAAAAAGTCTTAGAACACAGACACCTAGAGAACAGATATCTCAGTGCTACGTGATCAAAAAGCAACCCTCCGATTCCATTGACCAAACTGTGTGGTCTTCCACAAACCGGAGTTAAAGCGTGGGATAGGGAAATACACCACTACAGCAAGTGAATTGCGGAATCTAAGTCCAACTTAAGATGGTCTACTGTTTGAGATAATCAGAAAGACTGATGTACATCAGTCAATCTTTTGACGGATACCATTTCAGAAATCAATCTAGGGTAATGCGAAGACACTTAGTTCCAGCAGCAAGAAATTCGACTTGACGCGTGCGAACAACAGCATGACATGAGATCAAGGTTGAGGTCAGATGCGAACCTCTTCTTTATGATTTCCCTGAACAGGCATGTTGGCATGTACTTCGCGCTTCCCAAAATGCAATGTTTTCCCGGGTGACTGGGTCGATACCGTGTGCCTGGTGAAGCAAGAGTTGGTTGGAAACAGATTAAATGTGATCAGGTCATGAATTGATGCCAGGATGACGAACTTTCCATTGGATTGGACAGTAAAATTCATGTTAGGCGGTGATGCCTCATAAGTCCCTACCTAGCAAAACAGAGCCAAATAAACCCGTCGTATGCGTGCGGACACTTCATCAGCAGTTCCGCACAGGTGAACTGTGGCTTCCCAAACAGTAAAACTTGTCTACCTTATATATGATTTCCTGCTAGAATCAATTTGGAAGCCGGACTAACTCGACCATATGAAAATTCTTTATAACTTGTCGTTGCCAAACTCATACCGAACGTATCCACACTAACATCCAAACGATTCAGAGAAGCTTGTTAACCGTGTCTGTATGTTTAGATGACGGAAAATCGGACCCGCTAACTACAGATCGGAAAACCTGCCACCTGTCTCGTAGAGAGGAAGAGTCATTCACAGAATCATTCATCACAAAGTTTAAGAGAACAGGAGAAACACGAAGAGAGAGAGCAACCCTGGTCAGCGTTACTGTCCGTGGTGAGCTTTGGCAAGAAAAAGCCGTAGGCTCGAAATCGTTATCGATTATTTGTATAAGCGGGGGGAGGAGAGGGTCACGATAATGAAACCAAAGTGTTCGACACATCCTTGAGGGAAGGTACCGCAACAGTATAATGCGGTCGAAAAAAATGACGGTCGCTTTTAGATCAATGTACATTTAGTTTCTCTCTATTGTGCATCCGTACCTTGGCATTGCCTTCAGCTTTTTCTCTTTTTTCGATTGGTCCAACAAATTGGTAACCGAAATATGGGATAAAACAAACGCAAGGAAATGCAAAATCCATGGGTGTACAACAAAATAAGAGTGATGGCACAAAAAAAACACCGACCCAGACGAACTTGAGTGGGTGGTCAGTTGAGAATAGAAGATACTTCGGTCGTTAAGTTTTTGTAGTAGTAGACAGCTTTTCAGTCCAGCGGCTGAATACTGTGCCTAGCCTACTTAAGTTTGACGCAGTCAACCCCTGCCCGTTCCAGGGCTTAGTTGTCCGGTTGTCATAACTGGGCAGTGATTCCTAATGACTGCACCTTTCATCCACCAACCCACCTAATGCCCGATAGACTCAAATTTCCACGGAAAAAATTGCCAGTCAGGTGCACTCACGTCCATTCTTGTAATCCGTTAAAGTTTCCGGCGGAATAGCCAAACGTTTAATATGCTTCGACAAGATGTCTGCCCACTTTTCCAAACTTTCCACAATATTCCATGGTTCGGCCATGCTAACCATGATCACGACAACGCATTCACCAAAATTGTTCGCATTCAGAGCAAACTTGAGCAGATGACTATGTATCACATCCCCATCGAGAATCCACACATTCAACTTAGTTTGGTCTGAAAGGAGAAACGGGAGTATCAAGTTACGGAACGAAAAAATCACACTAACCATCCCGATCTTCATCCTTGATATCGATAAACGTGTATTCAAGTCCGTAACTGGTTTTTGGATCTTCGGCCCGTTGCAATCGTGTGATCAGTGTCGTTTTGCCGCAACCATCATCACCCAGCACAATCAAAGCCCGTGTTGATGGGAGTTTTACAGACGCTTTGTGAGTAACTTCTTTCAGCAAACTGGACCTGGGAAGAGCAAAGTTAAGTAAATATTTGCACTGTTCACTAACCATAAACATTTCCCATCATCCTGTGAAATATCCTCCTGGCTGTCAGCGATGTCCAGATCAAACGCAGGCATAACTGACCACTTGAACCTACAAATAGAGCAACGAACAAGATTTAATAAAGCATGCATTTGAGACAAAAAGAAGCACTTTTGTGTAATGCGAGAGTTATTGTTACTGTTAACCACAACCTATAAGTTCAGTTGTTACAACCATTAACCATGCACTTTTGTGCGCCGGTTTTGGTTGCCCATTTGGATAAAAGATCGAAATGAAGATTGGAATGTCGAAGCAAATTCAAGCGGAAGATGGGGAATTCATATAGAGTGGTGTTAGGAGATTAACGATTGGATGCACGAGCGCCACTGTTTGCGACACCTAGCCCTATCACTCAGTGTAGCTAACCCTCGGTGACCATCATCCCGAGGTCCCCAGCCAGGGAGCCTAACGGGGCCTATGTGACCTAGTCTCCTGGTTAGGGTTTTCATACCCTCATGCCAGGTCTTAGCTTGACCGCCCTTCATTTTTTCCACTCGCTACCTGCCTCACCAA